ACTAGTACTTAAACCAAACATAAATTAGATATTATAATTATAGATTTATATCTTATCTCAATCTTGATACAAACTTGTCACACAAAGAATATAATCAAATAATACTCTTATTAATGCCCCACTTATATGAGTTGAATAGGGAGCAACTAGCTAATTATATCCTGTTTGTACTCGAACTAAACAGGTCAGACTCCATGACCACAGAGCGAGCTTGATCTTGGGTCCGGGTTTGATATTGAATTTAAGGTTGAACACAGTTGGTTTATTCAAGCTAGTGGAGTCGAGCATAGCCCGGTTTTGGACCAAACATTGACAATTAGGTATTAGGAATGAGAATTTTTTGTTGATTAAATAATCTCTAAGTCTATCTATTCTCCGCTTTGGATAAATAATTTAGGCCCGGTATTATCACTCAAAAATATTTCAGATCTACATGAATAGTGCTAATATTCGCACAAACAAAGTGTTTTCAATACTTGAACCAAACAAGAGACGAGAGGGCACGGATTTCAGATTTGTTTTTCTTCCCTGTCTTGATGGCTATGAGATGGATGGGGTTCTCTAATCCGATGAGTCTAAATACTTAATCCAAACACACCATATTGGATAGATTCTGACAATTCAAAAGAAATTGCAAGATGATCCATTTTGTTTGTTAAATAAAAAGGAACCAAACCTAAAATTTATATTGGCATAGATTTAGTAGATATTTTGTCTATTAATTCTCTTGGTAAATATCTGGTACAGGTTTATCCTCACCTTCGGGATTATTATAATCCTAGATTAGGTTCTTCCTCACAATTTGTTTGGATAAATTAATGAGTAGAAGGCCGGCAATCTTTTGGGAAACTTCTACTTCAACTTTTATTGAGACAAGAAACATCCCACATTATTTTGGTATTGACCCAGGAATTATTAAGTATTTGCTTAGTGTGAACAACCTGAGTGATTGTGGTGGAGAGAGTTTCTCACCATCCCACATGCCCCATCATGGCATTAATCCTTTTTTAATGGTAAGGGTTTGTTGTTTTAAGGTTGAAGGTTTGTTGGAGCATAATTGAGGACCGTTTGGTGTAATAATAAATAATTGATTAACAACAAAGGAAAAAAAAATTATCTAGTGGACTCCCACCTTGGGGTTAGAGTAATCTTATTATAACTTAATTTATTGATATAATTTGTTGTATCAATTCACTAGTAATTGGATTAACTGTATATCTCATTAAATATTAAAACTTGGTATTAAGACAACGGTTATAATAAAAGGAATGGAAAAGTAATATTACTAATGCCCTATTTGGTAAAAATGATGGAAAGTCGAAAAAATGAAAAATAGAAATGTTCATTTTTTATCATCCAAGGAAGAAAAGTATGAATAATTCATTTTTTTCCCTTTGTGTTTGGTAGGATAAATAAAAAATAAAAATGATTAATTTTTTTTTTTGCTTAGTAAGATGTAGTTTTATTTTTTTTTGTTTTTAACTTTTTATTATAATTTTTAAAAAATATATATATAAATATATATTTTATCATTGTATTTCTATATGAAACTAATGTATAGATAATATATGTATATTATCAAAGGATATATAGACAAATAAAATATATTTTAATACAAATAATTAATTTTTTATTTATTTTTTTCTAATTTTGGAGGGATTGGTTTTAGTAAGTTGGAAGGAAAGTTCATCCATCTACTTTTTCATCTTTTCTATTTTATTTTTTTATCAAACATAATATTTTATCTATCCCTTCAATTCATTTTCATTTTCATATATTTTTTTCATCGTATCAAACGGAGCAAAAAAGAATCAAACATTTACATTCTGGTACTTATTTTTTTGTGAGACTATTTGAAATTGAAATTTTGTTGAAAAAGGGTTTCTTAGCATTCCAATGCTCATCATGTCATTAACAAGTTTGTTTAGTAAAGGTTTGTTGATCACAATTAAGGACCCTTTATTGGGATATTAAAGGTTTTTTTGGACAATAATTAAGGACCATTTGTTTGACCATTAAAGAATGGAAAAAGAGAAGAAGAAAAGACAAAAGAATCAAAGTGGACCTGGCTTCTTGTGGTGGGAAATTGTGGATTCTTTTGAGGAAACAATTGGTGGTTGGGTGTGTGGCTCCAATTGTACCTACCTTAACAACCGGGGAGATATTACGGAATGCCCATATCATTGTTGGAGTAACGTTATTTGAAACTAGAAAATTAATTTTATTTATTAATTTAGTGATGTGATTTTATTAAATGAAGAATAAGTTTTAATATTTGATAAAATTCATAATTAATCTAAAGATTATATTGAATCGAGTAATGTTACACTGACCAAAAAGAATGACCAAATGACATGACGACTGACGTGGAAGGTTGAATAGGCTTCACATGAGTCACCATGTTATTTAATCATTCTTTTTTTTTCCCTAATTTTGGTCATAGACTAAAATTAAAGACAAAAAAGAGCGACCAAATGACATAGTAGTTGACGTGGAGCCTAACCAGTCTTTCACGTCAGCCGTCATGTCATTTAGTCACTCATTTTTATCCCTAATTTAGGCCAGTGTTGCATTATTCTAGTGAATCAGGTCAATAAATAAAATCATATTTTTAGATTCAAATAACATTACTCAAAAAAAAAAAAATGCTACATAACTTAAATGAAATCTAAAAATTAAAACTCAAATGTATATTATCTCTTGGATGAGTGTGAGATGAATGAGTCCCATTGAAAAAATTGATGGGACCTACTCATCTAAAAGATGATATACATTTGAGTTGCAACTTTTTGAATTTCATTTAAATTTTGTAACATTGCTAAAATTAAACCAGTATCGTACCAACATTTATTACATTTGTGAGCGTTTTTATTATTATTGTGGGTGTTTTTTTTTATCATTATTGTGTTACCGATAGAAAAATAGGTAAAAATAATTAGCATAACAATAATAAAAGCACTCGTAACAATGATAAAAATACTCATAAATATGATAAATCATCCACAAAAGTGATATTTTTTTTGTTAAAGAAAAGTGGTTAAAATAATTATCACAACAGTGGTAGAAATACTCACAAAAATGAGAAATCGTTAACAAAAATAATAAACTTTTTAATTATAAAATCACTCACAAAAATTATATATAAAATATCATTAGTATATATATATATATATATATATATTCCCCCTTGAATGTCACAGGCCACACTTGTGTTTCTCCATCTGCATGATACGTAGTAATAACCATTTTTTTAATGTTGATGAGGATTAAGGGAGGTAACTATTGATACGATACATTAAACATAATATAAACTCAATGTAAAATTAATCAAATCGAATTGACCAATTTTTTATATGTATTTAGAAATAAGACAGTCCGTTGATACAAGAAATAAATGTGTAAAATTAGTATCAAACACAAATTATTTAATTTTAACGAGATAAAATTATTAATAGAAATTGAAGTCAGCCACACAAATCACTTTCACTTTGTCCCAGACAATACAAATTGGTAGGATAGGATTACTTCACACGCTTCCTCATATTGTAGATATCGAGATTGTAGATATACCTAAGCTTCTACAAATCAGAGTTGCACAACTTGAAATAGGGTGAGTTTGCAATTCAGGTTGTTCAAAGTAGAAATCCAAAGTATAACTCAAATCGACACAACTTACCCCATGATATAAATAATCTCACATTATTGCTCTTACCTCCAATCGTAACTCTCACTTGTTACTTATTTATTTTGGTGTTTTTAAACTCATTTCTAAGGAGTCGTGATTTGAAATTATTCCATAATACGAATATGTACAATTAACTTTTGTCATTAACAAATCATTGTCTTTAACATTATCTTGAATTGTATTTTTTTTTATTTGTCGTTAAAAATATAAAATACTTACTAGTTATGATAAGTATATGGATGTACAATTCTATATGACGTAAAAAACGAACCACTGCTCAGCTCGACTCAAAACAATATATTAATTACATCAATCTCGAACATATCGCGCACCGAACAAATTATTGTACTACATACCCCTACCACATACCAAATTGACCTGCGATCTAGTCAACGTTGGTTTTAACACCCTCTTCCATTTCTGTTTCGGAAATACAAGATGAATCAACTACAATTTAGACCACCTGCTTGCAACTGGCAACACCTTCCTCTACTAGGCAAGAAAGCAAGTTCAATTTTCTCTAGTATCAGAGGATTTTACCAGAGGAATTATGAAGTTATTCTCCGTTCCAGCTAATCTCTTGGTGAGTAACTAGCTTTCCTGTCGGGTTGTACCCCGAGCCTTCCCTGGGGATCCCCCTTATTCCAGGCACTAAGAATGAATAAAGGTGCTCTAAGTGGTTGTACATACTCGTTCCATGGAGACAGACCCCTCCAACGAAAACATTCCCTCACTACAGACTAAACTCGTTGTGAACCTTTTCGGTTATTAGAAGCAGCTCTTGAAGTAGCCCTCTTTCTTTACAAAAAATGGATACATGGTTCATTCAAAATAAATAGCATTTGAAATTTGATGGTATCGGGATCCCCTAGTAAAAAAAAAAAGCTACCACCATCAATTCCATTTTTTGTACAAAGAAATATTAAATGCTGGTATTCATCTGAAAACATCTGTTCATCAAGCTGCAGACCTTCCAGCATCAGAATAAATTGACCAGCTTCATAGCAGGTTTCATGAGAAGCACAGAGCTCATGTCCAAATATTTAAGCCCTTCAAAATTAACTGAAGAAAGACGGAAACTAAACTTGTATCTCAAGGGCATATAAATAAACAAAGAAATCGAGAATCTCTCTCCGTATATTAACACTAGCAGATCAAGTTTTTGAAGTTCGCTATTCAATGGAATACTCATAGAGTTGAGTGAAATACGCAAATAAAGTTATATGCAAACGAGAAAGAAAGGGAGATGACCAAGTCAAGAACAAAAACAGTAACCAGTGAAAGCTCTCCATGATTTCATGGCATTGGAAACAAATTAAGAAAGCCTGATGGGTTGACCACACAGCTGTTCCAACTCACTTTCCAAAACTTCTGATAAGTTTGCTTTAGTCCGCCTATAAATCCATGCCTGAGCACTTTGATCCCAATCAAACCTGGACGGACCACTGTAAGATAAAAATAAAACTCTCAGACTCAAGTCTTTCAAATGAATGCATGCTCATAAATCATTTGAATGATAAAAACTCTCCATGATTTCATAGCATTTGAATGATAACAACAATATAAAAGTAAAAGATGCAAAAGACGTGTGTGCTCGCACACTGTACAGATATTTGCGGATAATGCAAATTGCCTTTACGGCAATCAGACAGTCTTAGGAAAAAAAAAAAAAAAGGACGTCTGAATATCAAAGCAATTCTATCGTCAATGCACATAGGACACCTTTCATCAATCTTTCCTTTGCAGCATTGAGATTTAGTGAGATTCCTGTAGATAGAATATAAATCTCGGTATAAACAAAGGTAGTTCACATTCGGTGGTATCACATCTCAAGCTATCGGCTTCTGCATTGTCTGGATAACAAACAGTCCCCCTAGAAGGGAAATAAGCAAAGAATTCAAACCAAGCGAGGTGCCCTAGGGAATTACAATGAAAACGAACATGATGATAACAATACACAATACAGAATGCCTTTTTGATTCCACCAGCGACTTGGTCACCTACAAACACAAGAAATCCAGTTGTAGGACCTTAGAATCATTTAGAGATGATGGCACAAATTAACTGCCAGAACACAACGATAGCATGGATCAAAGACACAATTACTTTCTATGCGTGGTGGCCAGGGAAAACCATCCCATTTTTAGGCACAAGAAACTAGAGGTCTAGTAAAACTGCCCAAGAAGAAAATGAGCAGAATCAGAACACAAACTTTGAGGGCCAAACAAAGTTCATTTATACAATGGCCAAATGCAATTATGTTTTAATTTGAATATTGTTAATGGTAGGTTAGTTGACATATTCAGTTTCAATTATGGGATGCAAAGCTCCATTCTGGATATATTCTTATAGCCTTCGGAAATGCACATCTCAAATTATAGGAACGAATCTCTTGGAGGGCATAAGAATGATGCAGATACTTTTACTTTTCGGTGCATGATTTTATCGATTCCAACTACTGAAGCTACACCTAGGGTTGTCAATCAGGCCAATCTCAACACTGGATATAGCTCAGCTACATTTTGAAGAGCAAGAAATAGTCTGCATGAGGGCTGGTCTAATCTAAATGAGCCTTAATACGATTCTTAATTCAGGACCCGCAATGGTGGGAGTCTCATGCATTGGCATGCCCCTTTTTTCATCAAGACACCATGCAGAATAGAAGATGCAGTGTTGGGGATTTAGTTCCACTTTGATTTCTTATTTCTACCCCAAGTCACTCTGATTTCTTCTTTCTACCCAAAGCCACACCTAATAAAGAAGAAGTGTGGATATCTGGGTCAATTTCAAGGCTGGGCACATAACAATGCTGATATTTTCAAGTCCTGATTGCCATTCTTTTGTTTCGACGAAGTACTTAGGCTAGAATAGTAATCTATATTATATTCTACTTATAAATGTCAACATTTGTGACAAACTTTTGATTTCCTATTTTATCCCTAATTATTATTATAGACTCAATTATACCCACAAATTTCCTTTCATCCAATTTTTATTTTCTATACCTATTTGGACTCTCTTTTATTGATATTATTTGACTTTTTAATTTATTTGGAATCAATTGTTAATGCTACACTTACATACAATTTTCTATATCAATGTTTATAAGTAAAGTCCAATATATATTCTATTATTATATATATGCAGTTGTCATATTTGACTTTTTGGTATGCAACAACATTATAATACAAAATAATAGTATTACAATATAATCAATCTCTCCGACAAAAAAATGTAAGATATGCAAATACTCAAGAATGACAATCTTATAAGGAAACTTCATTATAGACCAAAGAGGAAATGTTTAAAGGGATCGAGAAGATACCTAAGAAAATGACAGATTAGATATTCAAAAAGTGGTAGAATATATCATTAATTAGTTTAGAAATATTTAAAATAATAATTTATTATTCAGCACATAATTTATTATTCAATTTAATTACACATAATTTAATTTTTTACAAAAAAAATATTATTTAAATATGTTCATGTACAACACACATTGTGCATTGCTAATTCAATTAAGTTTTAGTTAGGCTTCATACGTAAATTTGTCCTTGGGCAAAGAATTGACTGCCATATTCGCCTTTATTGTCTCACGGGCTAACTTGTTAGAAATGGTAAATTAGAATGGGTCTAATTAGTCCAAACATAAGTCTAAAGTCCAAGAGTCAAGTATTTCATCCCTGGGTTCAAACTTAAAGTACTCAAAAGACCACGTAAACTAGATCAAGCACTTTTTCATTTTCACTAATAGCATACCACGGCCATGTCAGATACTTTCCACAGTCAGCACCCTTTTCAACCCACCAGGCTTCCATTTTAATGCCTTAAAACAGAACTTGTTCTTGTCCTGCACCAGTCTGATACCAAGACTTATTGTTTCTCCACTATGCTCAATTTAAGTGGAAGATCCTATGGGCCTAGATGACAAAAATCATATACATACTAGGAATGCGATCATTTGCTTCTCATGTTACTCGAAGATCTAAAAAAATATCAAATAAAAAAGTTCATTAATAAAAGCGCTCAATATCAGTACCTCGAGGTACTGCCACTCAACACATGGTTTAATGTTGCGGTATAGGTAATCAACTAGAAGAGTTTTGAAACTCATTGATCGCTGCGTTGTGGCATCATGGTATCAGGAAATACGACCTAAAAGACAATATTGAACATAACGAGAGATTCAAGTTATATCGTGGCATCGTGGAACGTTGATTCAGTGACGATAACTCGGCAACTTGGGATTAACTTAGATATAACTTTGACAAGTCATACGAGACTCGGAGTTTATATCTATCATGTAACGATATCGTTTCGAAAGGATGCCGAGTCGGATATGTCTCAGCTCACCTGTATTGGTATCAACCGATACTTTGAAACAGAACTCAAAATCAGTATTTCGACTAAATATATCAATTAACGATAAAAAAAATAGATTACCTAAAACCACTTTAAGCAAATAAACATCATTTGATACCTATGGTAAACAAAGTGATGTGATATGTGATGCCCCCATGTAAACACAACATATGGAACATGTAACAATTAGTTACATTGACAAGCAGCTTCATCACAGTGTAATTAAGTCTAGATCACCCTAACATAAAAAATTAAGTGCCGAGTCAAGCTTCATCCAATTCCAAACAAATTATAGAAGATGCTATAGTTTATATCATAGAATAGCATGATATAATATAAAGTTTATATCATTTATAAATATGGTTGAGAAAATGATGTGGCAGGACTCCCAGTCCTGTAGTGACTCTCCTCCCTTCCCCACAACTCTTTTCTCTTCCCTTTTCCCTGAAGAATGAGATATCTTTACATCAGAAAAGGGCACAAGGAAGGTTCAAGTTATTTCAGTGAAACTTATGGTAGCCAGAATGTAAAGCCACAAAATAGGGGAACTGAATCGTGCCTTTACCACAGTGCGCATACTCAAGTTTATAAAACAGTGTTACTAATCCCTAAATTTAAATGCAATTCAATAATGTAGATTCTAACTTTAAATTATGTTCTTTCCAATTGCTTGAAAAAATTTTAAGGTCAATTCATTGAGGCAATTGGAACATGACACCCCCTCATCTGCTTTCTCAACAATCACCTGGTCATACCATCCTATGTCTTCATTAACTCCCACTGGGCCAACCAACTTTAATGAAATTCAGTTTGATACACCAAGTCTAGGTTCCCAAGACTGCACGGCATATTTTAATACAAACAGAGCTTTTTGTTTTGTTTGTCTATCTTCCACTCCCATAGTTTTGTGGCAAACAACTGACAAATCGACCATTAATGGCACCATTCATTTTCACACATACCACTCATCGGAAGGGAAATCAAGCAAGTTGAACAAAGCCTATACTCCACATCCTATGTTTTGACATTTGTATGCACATTTTCAATGCTACCACATCCATTTGTCTTCCCCCAAGTAATTAAAACCCCACGGACAACCGTTCTTGCATTCTAATGAATATCAGGCTACCACAGTGCTCTGGCAGAAATGATGCATCTATTCAGTTGCAGTTAAGAAAATGCTGAGCCAAAGTCTCAATTGTAACAGAACATATTCACATAGAAATTAGCATGATAAAACTCAGAAACCACATAACATATTTTAAAAACTGACGAGCCAAAGTCCAGAACTCATTCTGTAAGCAGCAATTACCTCACAGGCGAGGACATCCAAATTTGTCTATTTGGTGTTTGTTTGTTCAAAACATAGGTTCCCAAACTCCCAAGCTTCAGGGTTAAAACCTGGTTCTGCCAAGAGAAGGCCAGGTTTATGTTAGACTGAATACAAAACCTTTGCATGAGTCATGAACAAACCAACTTTAACTCCTATAAAATTCTCACCCCATACTCTATGTCAAAACCATCAATTTCAACTGTGTCACCATATTCCTGTCAGGCAACAGACAAAAGAAATGAAGTTTAGAGCTCAGTGTTATTGTAAAAGAAACAAAGACAGTGAAAAGAAATGGAATACCAGACCAAATATTATCTTTTATGATACAAAACACTAAGAAGATGAATGACTAAAAAAAGCCAGTAATATCCACGAAGGAAAAATAAAGCCAGTGCCTTAACAAACGGGATGGCAAGAAAGAATTGTGTTGCTATACTTTCAATATCAATACACATACTCCAACTTTTCTCGATTACTCATGAATTATTCACAACAAGTATGAAAAGAGAAAAAGTCTCACATGTTTACTTATCACCCTCAGTTTCTCCAACTGCTGATGATGAATGGAGATCCTACTGTCAATCAGGACTTGCTTCTGCTGATTTTATACAGCAAAAGTAAATTTCATTCCATTTTTTCACCAAAAACCAACTTTGTCGGCTTCTAAAGGTCCTGGGTGACGTTGATAATAATGGGTGTTCCCAGCAATGCAATTTGGAATAGTAGTTTTCAAACAGGATAGTGTAAGTTAGAGACAGGTAGAAATCAGTTGTGTACTCCGCGAGTGGCTACTCTTCTTTTGGATCATTGGATACAAAATCACTTGGAATTAGTATATAAAAAAAGTTTATAAATTTGTTTGACTATAAGGAGCTATTGATCTGTCAATACCTCCAATAACTACAAATTGAGCACAGAACTTGTGTATCATGAGTCACATCATTGAAAGACTTAATGTATTGACACGTTTGTGAAAAGTGTGGTGATTTTCGGAGGCATAAAACACAAAGGCATAAAAGGTTTGAAAATGATTAGTACCTCTATCTTCTCTAGCAGGTCCTGTATCGTGGTATCAGCTAGCCTGTGATATTCATCCTCCTGCAGTAGAACACTGTATACATTATCACTTTTAGCAAATTCACTTGATTTGATTACTAAGAAACATATTCAGGAGGGAACAAATAAATAAATAAAAATTCCCCAATTTGTAATATGTAAAAAGTAGGAAATTTTTCAACAAAAAATTGGGGAGAAGTGAAGGAAATACATGGGAAAGTGTACACACCTGTTATATATAGTGACAGGGCCTTGAGACTCGTCATTGAGATGAGGAGGGCGAGAGCAGAAGTTTCTACAACAGATTGAAAGACAATATCCATGAGCAAGCCTCGAAGCTTCTGGAAGTGATGAAAGATATAGAGAAGAAGATGATGAAGAAGATCTTTGTATGGAAGCAGAGGGAGGTTTCAGTTTCAGAGCTCTGGATAGTCTTCTGAGTAGAATTAACTTAGTTGAAGAAGGAGAAGCCATTTTCTGGGCAAAAGTTCTTCTCCTTTCAGGCTTTAACGAGCTGTTCACTGGGGTCAGTTTGGGCTGGGATAGCCCAATATGAATGGATGAGAAATAATGGCCCAGAGGCCCAAGACATATGAACGCCAGATTCAGATCCCAGAACAATACTTACATTACCAAACCGGATCGGACATCAATCCACCAAAGAATCCGAACAATGAATCACTAGCTTAATAAAAATAATTAATAAATCAATAATTATTCTAGAAAATTATAATCCTCGTACAAATAGCAATTTTTTATGTGTAGTGAATGTGATAAAAATTCAATTAATTTATTTGCTTTTGGGTAACGTTTTTATTTTTGTATTTTTTAAAAAATAAAAAATAGAAATAAATTTTTTTTAGTAGCCATTTATATTTAATAAATTATGAAAAATAAAAAAAAATATTTGTGATACACACAGTGCCGCACACCCATCGTCTCTAAAGACACGCACACCAATCGGCCACAAACACAGACCCGCACCATTACAGCCACACTTTCACACACATTCACACAGATCTACACCTAGATCTACGCCAATATATGCATTTATATACTAGGCCTTACAATTCTAGATACGACTCATGAAATCGACACGAATTTAACAAGTTTGAGTGTAGTCTTAATGGGTTCGGGTAGTTAACGGATTAACTCGGCAGATTCGTGAAATAAATGAATCGATTTTATGTTTAACCTATAAACTCGTTTTAATCCGTTTAATCATTTAACAGTAGTACTATAATTTTTTTTTTAAAAAAAGTTAGGTTTCTTAGCTTCTGTCTTATTTCACACCCCCAATCTCCTAGACACATTCAAATTTAGTAGCAATTTAATGCTTATTTTTTGTCTGTATTTTTTTATTCAATCATGATTTATTGTTATAATAAACAAGTCAAATATATGTAATGTGTAGTAAGTTGATGATTTTTCGTGTGTACTCAAAATATTATAACCTATTCTCTTATTTAGCGGGTGACACACGGATTGTATCGGATAATCCGTCAAATAAATGATTTATGTATGAGTATGATAGTTAAATTTGTTTATATAAACAAATGAGATATGAATGAAGGATTTTTTGATACAAATCTATTCCACCCGACGCGAAAACTGTTTTACTCGACACGATTGTCAGGCTTAATATATACAGATTTATGTAAATAAAAAATATAAAATTAAAAATACAATTTTTGGAAAGCGTAATAGAGAGAGAGATCGACAGGGACGGAGATGGAGCATAAGAGAGCTCGTAAGAGAGCTGACCCTGAGAGAGGCGAGCTTCAAACGAGTCGGACTGTCGGAAGCACCTTCCTCCTCGTGGGAGACACAGAACGGTCGAGTGAGGGAGTTAAAAAAAAAAAGCCCAAAGAAAAAATTACACTACCGTCCTTTAAAATTCGGTACTTAATTACTTATATTCCTTATATTTAAAATATCACACACAAATTTCTTATGATTTTTAATGTCTATCTGTTTGTAAATTAATGGCTCGCACACAAGCGTGCCTTATTTGCATTTTTTTGTTATTTTTGAAAATATGTTTTTTTTTTCTTGCAATTTTGGGCCTTGTTTTTAAAATAATTTGATTAAAAAAACAAAAATACAACCAATCACATTTTTTTTATAGCAAAAACTGAAAATAAAAAAACCATTACCCATCAAGCCCTAAGAAATAGAAATATCATTTTGATGGAGAGGTACTAAAAAAATTGGTATTTCATTTTTTCATATAATACATTGAGAATATAAAATAACATATTTGACTAATGTATATATAACACTATTCTTAAGTCTTCTTATTCACGAGACATTAAATTAATTTACATCGAATCCTTTAATCTGGTCAATAAAATTTTCAATTTCAAAAAAATTGGTATGACCCTATTTGATTACCACAAGAAGTCCTTTTGAGTCACCTTCTAATATCATACTTTGACAGCCCAAATTAATTACAAATTTAGTGCCTGTGAATTACACCCCCAATTTTATTATTCATTGTAATATGTCGAATTATTTTTGAGATTACCAACAATAATCAACTCTAATTCATCAACCTTCCTCCTCGTGGGAGACACAGAATCGTGTCGTGCCTCCGATGGTTCAAAGGGCGAAAGTACGGGAACGGACATTGTTCTACCCCGGTTCCGGTTGATTCGGTTTAAGTCCCCTCCTCGGTAAAGCCCAAAGGCTCTGAAATTCAAACGCAAAATCCCCGCCAAAAGGACAAAACACGACGATTTCATACCACACTATCTTCACTCTCCCCTCTCTTTTTCACTATAAATCTGGAAGATCACTTCGAATTCGATCACGAACTCGAATTTCTAGGGCAAACTGAGAATCGATGGAGAAAGGAATGATTTCAGTAGACCGGTGGTCTGAAGGAAGTCAGGTGTATTTCTTGACGCATCTTCACGCCGATCATACCAACGGTCTCTCTCCGACCTGGAAACGTGGTCCTCTCTTCTGCTCAAGCGTCACCGCCAAGCTTTTCCCCTTCAAATTCCCCGGCTTCAACCTTTCGTTGCTTAGCGTTCTCGATGTTACTCATTGGCATTCGCTTTCTCTGATTTCTCCGTCCTCTGGCTTGGAGACCACTGTACAAGTCATGGCCATAGACGCTCATCATTGCCCCGGTAAGTTTGTGGTCTGAGACAAGTTCAAGTTAGTTATTTTTTGAATTGCTTATGATTTGTTTGATTTCAAATCTATGTGACTGAATGCCCTTTAAAAACTAAATCTCATTGCTTCCAGAAGTTTTCCTGCACTTGTGATCGAATTTACGAATTTCTATGATGAAAAGAGAGTAAAAAATGGTAACAAAATTATGTTTTGCTGGGAAATCAGTTACTTTAGCTCTACTTTTTCTGAGGGACTGACCTTGTCGAGCAGTTTATTCACCCCAACACTGTTTAGCTGGGACGTTGTCATGGTATAAATGGATATCTATAAGTATCGAGTTGGTGGTTTAACATAATCTAAAATAATCTAAAGACGTGGAGATCAAAACACACTAAGAACACTGGTGTTACTACACAATGCAGTCGCATAGACAGACCGCCACAGATTGCACCGCGAGAGGGGGAGTATAAGATATAAATACCTATGTTATACCATTTTCTATTATTTTAAGCTTTTAGATGAGTCTGTTGTTTTGCATCATATCGACACATTTCAAAATGTACCAACGCCACCTCCCTTTATACACATATGTAAACTGACCAACCAAGGATGGGGAACAGAAAATAAATACTCATTTCACAATCCTCTAGAATCTAGGTCAGCCAAATTTTTTAGCATGACTGGTGATTGACACTACTTTATTTGGGGATTAGTTGTGGTCGTGCACCTTATGATGAGGTGGCTTGATGGATGGAGAAATCTCATAATTGGCTTATTTATTGAAGCTGTGCTGTAGCTTGCCATTTTTGCAGCTATGATGATGTTTTATATGGAGTTTGTAATAAAGCAGTACCTTCATACAACTGCTAGGTGCTAAGTTTTTATCTCTTTTTGGCTATAATTTTGATGCTCTAATCTGTTTTCACCAATGTGCTCAGTGCCCATTTGTAAAAATTTAATGTTGTCATCTTGCTTAAAGAAATGACTTATTCATCTCTTCAAGTTTTTTCATCTAACAGGAGCAGTTATGTATCTGTTTCGAGGTGAGTTTGGCTGCATGCTTTACACTGGGGATTTTCGTTGGGAAACAACCAGTAAGAGAGCACAGATCGGAAGGACCACGTTACTTAATGCTCTCAAGAATGAGAAACTTGACATTCTTTACTTAGATAACACGTACTGCAATCCATTGTATTCTTTTCCTTCTCGGGAAGTTGCTGCGAAGCAGGTGTGTGTTCTTTTCGGGAAGATGCTTTATAAGTTATATATCTTAATTATTTTATTACCCTCTTGTTGCTGCAAGTAACTTGACTATCTTTTATGACTGATGCTGCAAAATTCAGTTTGGTTTCGTATATTTGTGTTTTGAGCAGCTCTGAAGCTTGTGGAGAATGTAGCCGTTCTTATTCAATTTATTATGATGTACCAATAAAACAATGTCAATGCAGAGTGTCAAAATAGTAGAATGTGAAGCTTTTGGACAACATATGGGAAGGAAATTGTGCAAATTAATTGAATGACCAAATCAAAAGTTCTTCTTATGTCTGTGTTTCAGTCATCTTTAGAATTGCTGTTAATCCACTGTAAAGTTCATTAAAGGAAATATTGTATGGCAGTTTACTGGGATTCACACTTTCAGTTTTCTTGTTATAAGATACTGAGGTATGCAAATTATAGATGGAAGAGCACTATGCCATTCTCTTACAAGTAAGAACTAAAAAGAAAGGAGAGAACCTCTTCAAGACAAGACAATAGGGAAAAGGTGCGTACAAGTGAGAAAAGTGAGATGGGGTTATAAATTTCAGAGTAGTCTTCATTGGGGAAAGCTCTAAGAGGCTCTGCAATGTAGACTTTTCAGGAAGTCATGTGTCAGAAAGGGCTTGTCTGAGTAGTATATATGTAGTTGATATTTCAGAGGAATGGAGGATCAAGATTAAATTTTGATTAATATCTAAAAGATGGACGGGGCTTTGCTTGTAATCTCTGCATTTTTATATGAAATATTGTGGAAGCGAAAAAAATAGCTTGTTTGTATGACTTTGGTAGAATGTGCCATTTTCGACAGCAATTTCAAAGAACAGTCTCATGCTTTCAGGAAATAATATACAACTTGTTTCTTTGCCTGTATCAAACTTTGCTGCAATACTATGTACAATATTTTCCAAAACTTGTCTCTTTGCCTTTAATTCTTGATGGCTGATTACAGGTTGTCAATATCATCAGCTCTCATCCTGAACATGATATTATCATAGGGATTGACTCTTTGGGCAAAGAAGATCTTTTGCTCTATATTTCACGTCTGCTGAATATGAAGGTATATTTTTTATTTTAATAGAAAACACAACTTTTATGTGTTTGCTTCTTAATTACAAGAACATCTTAGTCGTTATTTTCTCTATAGATGGCATTTAAATGTGCACATGCAGCAAAGTGGTATGCACCTTTTGCTTACTTCTAGAAAATAAATGCAAAACACAGTCCTGACCATCAAATTTGTTGCATTATCTCCATCTTCTGCATGTTCTTAATTTGATTGCCTATTGCATTTGCTCATGTAATCTAAAGCCTGTTTCTTGGGAGCCTAATTAAGGAATAGGTGATTCTTAATGTTCTCTTGTTGATAATAATAGAACTCATGTCATCCTTTGTATTGGATGTTGACCTAAACCTCAATAACTTTTCTCTTTCGTTGTTCATACTGTCTGAGTCATGGAAAGATGCCATATGTTATGTTTAATTTGTATTTGTATTTCTTGTTCTAAAAAGTGATGCATTTAATTATTCACCTCATGAAGATTTCAGTTGTTGCACAAGAAATGAACCTATATATACCTAGCAATACATTACGTATATTTCAGTATTCCAGATTGGCTACCAAACATCTGGTTCACTACACTTTCTTGTTATTTTTCCCACAGATTTGGGTGTGGCCAGAACGCTTGCAGATTATGCATCTTCTGGGGTTCCATGACATCTTCACAACCAAAACTTCTCTGACCAGAGTGCGAGCTGTTCCTCGTTACAGTTTTAGTGTTGACACTTTAGAGGGACTAAATACACTGCACCCAACGATAGGAATCATGCCTTCTGGTATTCCTTGGGCAGTCAAAACTGCTAAACCAAATGATAATCTTTTTGGTTCTTCAATTTCTCGCCATAACCGAAGTAGCTGGAGCACAAATGTTGCGATGAAAAAGCCAAATGAAAATCTAAAAATTGTTGAAAGATATCATCAATACATATATTCAGTCCCATATTCCGATCACTCATGCTTTCCCGAGATACAGGAATTTGTTAAGCTTCTCCAGCCCACCAACATGAAAGGCATTGTGTCTAAGTCACCCTCTTATGTTGATCCTCTTTATTACTTTGGCTACCTTTGTGCAGCAAATCAACCATCAAAAAGGTTATGTCATAAACTTGAGGGTGAAGAGGTAGGTGAAAGAGTTGAAGCTGTCCATGTTAAACGTAACCGTGGAAGCCGTAATTCTACTGATGCTGAGAGTAAACGAAGAAGAGCCACACAAGTTGATTTCTTAGGTGTTCGCGTGAATAGGGTGAGTTTATTGAGAAGACTAAGGTGTGGTGCAAAGATTGTAGACATCGACTGTACTGAATAGTCAAAGCAAAATGTTGTAGTGACTAAGCATGTATATGCTTCCTACAAAAAGATATATCAAATAAATAAATAAAATATTGTTGCACATGGTATAGCTACTAAAGTTATGCCTCTTATTTATGAAGGTTGATACTCCAAACCATGAGAATGAGCAGGCTATGATATTTATCTTGAATGCCATTTTAATTCCATTCACATCTTCCATTACTGGTTGCTAATTAACAGGTGAAGAGTGTTGACTTTACAATGAGCTTTTGATTCAATTTCTCACTGTAAAGGCAATTAATACTTTGCAGAACAACCATGTACTTGTGAGCATATAATATGCCACTTCGATGTTTTTCTTCTTATGAGTTCTTACCAAACAGGTTTTAATGCTGAAGATGCAAAAGAATTATATTTGTGATCCATTGCCTTTCTTTGTTGGCAGCAATACAAGAAATCCTGTTGGTTGGGAACTGAAGGTAATATGTGCACAATAGAAGTTGCGATTTTGTTCATAGTAATGGCTTGCTATTACATCTGTTCAATTGCATAACATTCTATTATTAGGTAAGACTTGATATTTTGGCAAAGTTCAACATGACTCCAGTAAAGCTTTGGTTGCCAGGATATCCTGGATGATGAATTTAAAACTAAATGTGCTGTAATTGAAAGGCCAACTGGAAACTAGTGTTGATCTTGAAAATGGAAGCATGTAGGTGTATCATATGCAGTTCACTGTAATGCCAATTTTGGATGGAAGGAAGATATATTTCTTATGAATGATTGTAATGATTAATCAGGATTTGCATACGAGGGGTGATTACTGTCTATAACAATTTGTTGTCTTTGCAAGGATTCCTTGCTAACTTATATTGCAGTTGGGTTTGCTTGCGGTTTGAGTGATGTAGGTATGGTTATGCAATGCCACATTTTTAATTGCTGAAGACATTGATTCTCATTCAAGGAAACTGCAATTTGACCAGGAACTTGCTGACGGCTGCTTACTATGATGTTAGTTGATATTCTCAAAAGGGCTTAGCAATGGTCCATCCATCGTGTCTGTCGTGGCAGCTTTTGGAGCTGTGATGGCTTGAAATGTTTGGAGAGAAATATTTCAAGAAATTGAGGGTTTGTTTGGTTATCATCTGCAAAACAGTTTTTTGTTTTCAAAATTTTAAAAACACCAAAAACCTGTTTGTTTAGCATTTTTGCATTTTGAAAAAAAATGAGATTTGGAACAAAATTAGAGGTCTGTCCTTCGAGTCCCCTTAGCAACAAAACGCCTTCTTCTTTTTTTTTTTATTTTCCTCTCCCTCTCACCACTTTGCCCAGCGTCTTATTTTTCTTTTTTTTTTTGTCCCTCTCTCTCTCTCCACAAAACACAGTCACACACGCACACTCACAAACACACACACAAACGGCTGTTCATCTTCTCCTCTCTCTCTGTCTCTGCGCAACAGATTTGTATGAACATAGATCTGTGTATATATACAGATCTGTATATATACACAAATCTATGTGTGTGTGTATATATATACATATGTATTGTGTGATGTATGTGTGAGTATATATATATCTATGTGTGTGTATATTTATATACATATGTATTGTGTGATGTATGTGTGTGTATATATATATCTATGTGTGCGTATATATATATGGCTGTGTGTGTTTTTGCTGGGTGAGAAGGTAATAGAGAGATGGTTGCTGTGTGAGGAGATAATGGAGAGAGAGAGAGACTTGTTGTGTGAAAGGATAATGGAGCGAGAGAGTTGCTAGGTGAGAAGTCAATGGACATGACTGCCTGGTGTGATAAAGTTTTTTTTTTATCAGAAATGATAAGTTAAAAATTGATTTTATGAATTATTGTCCAAACAAGTTTTACTATTTTTTGTTCTTTAAAACTATTTTCAAAAATATATAACCAACCAGGTTTTATAATTTAAAAATTTTTAAAAACACTTTCTTAAAACTCTTTCCAAAAATAGTTTTCAGATATTGTTTTTTGAGATGCAAACTAAACAGACCCTGAAGTCCTCTCTATCTCTCTTGTTTTTTTTGTAGGATTGAGGTCTCTTAATGCAAATGGCCGGTAAATGGAAGCTCCAAAAATTGCTCCAAAGATCAATCTGATAGGTAAATCTTTTAAACCATGAGAACTTTACACGCATCACTTCCTTTTGCCTTATTTTATGTGCTGGTCAGGGTCAAGTGTTATGGACAATTGAGTTTTCATCTGTAAAACTCTGAATTTGTTCAATTCCAAATCTTCCAAATTTTTGGATTTTGACTTCTTCAAGGACTAGGTAAAGATGGAACCCTCTTAACATCCTCTTGCTATGCAGTTGACTACAATCCAATAGGAGAACTTTTACCAGGTAATTGGTGTTTTAGTTAATTATGTAGCAGCTTTATGGAGCAAATATAATTTCTCTAGTGAAAGACTGAAATTTTTAGCCAATTAGGAGAGACTGAAAAGTGTTAGGCTTTTCTTATACCAGTGATTAAAATTAGCCGGTCAACTCTAATAGGCCAATTTATAATTCAATAATATCAAATGAAGACTGATTCAAAATTTTGAAATTTCCTTGAATAATAATTTTGATCTTTCTAAGTTACAGCTTGATTCTATTTGTATTGAGTCTTAATTTATTCCAGTATTTATTGAGTCTTATTTTTTTTCCAGTTCAAAAAATAAAGCCTTAATTTATTCCAATATATTTTCATATTTCTTCTTCAAAAATCAAAGGCCATCTACTATCATTGCTCCCATCAAAATGTTGGAATGACCTGACCAGTGCCAGTCAACTGCTGTTCTGAAAGGTCCCATTTATTTAGAATATTCATATATTATTTCTCTTGAAATTGTAAAAAACGCCCATATTTTTTGGATGAATTTTTAAAAGTTACAAAATATTCATGGTTATTGTGAAATATAGGGAAATTTTAATTTTTTTGTCAATGAGTATGTGGATTTATAGACGAAAGATATATTATTTGTTTACAACAGGGAAAGACAAGTATGATTACAAATGGTTTCTTTGAAAAATACCTAAAAATACGCCGAGACGCTACTATGGAAAGAAAATGGGATAGAGTGAGAGGACAGCATTGTTAGTATCTCAAGAAAATAAAAACAGAATATTAAAATTAACCAATTATAGAACTGACATTAAAATATAAACTTCACAACTAATACAGCTAGAATTAAATTATGTAACGAGTGATGCTATATGTTTGGCATTAGTAAAATGGGTGCAGAAAAATAAAGGTAGCAATGTTTCAAGTCGTTTTGGGTAGTTTTGAGTGAGTATAATGCTTACTAGAGCATGATTTGTTCTTAAACAGGTTGAAAATTGGTTTCCCTAATTTAAAATTTTGTTGAAGTATTTTTTTCTATTTTGATCTTTTTGTTTTTTCATTGGATTAGGTATATGGTTTTTCCCGTTGTTTTGGAAAGGTAATTGCTAAAAGGCACAATAGTCACTACAAGTTGGATGGTTGGCTTCACAGCATGGCAATAAATCTTTCATTGGCTGCTTCGTTCTGGACTCCCTTGCATTTTTGTGCATTCTTCAACATGATCTGACCACTCTCTCTCTCTCCTCTGCACAAACTTTGTGCAGCTATGAATACCAGAGAGAGTTACTGTTTCACTGTATTTTTGCTCTTGCTATGTTTTTTTCTCTACAATCGCATCTCTTTTGGAGCTGACACCAGATCTGCAAACCAATCTCTCTGGAGACCAGATGCTGATCTCTTCAAGGGAAAACTTTGTACTTGGTTTCTTCAATCCAGTATATATATATATATATAAATAACTTTTTTATATTTTTTTATTAATGTTTGAATTACTGTTCAAATATATATTTAGGCTTTACTATTTTCTGTATTATAAAATTATTTTTGAAATCATCTAATGAAACAAGTTTTTTATCTCAAAAAATATCAAAACCACTTTCTTAAAACTCTTTTCAAAAGCTGTTTTCGGATACTATTTTTTGAAACGCAAATCAAACAGGCCCTTGGTTTTTAAGGATAACCCAAACTCAACAAAATCACATTGGCAAAGTTTTGATTACCCAACAGATGCCTGGTGGTAAAGCTTGGATACAACAAACGTACCAAAACAAATCAACTTGTTACTTCATGGAAGACCACCGAAGATCCTGCACCAGGATTGTTCTCTCTGGAGTTAGTCCCAAATGGCAGACAGAATATTATAAGCTGGAATAGGAGCCTACAGTGCTGGACTAGTGGAATTTGGAGTGTGAAAACTTTTAGCTTAGTATCCAAAATGACCAATGGGCTTTTGGTCTAATGGTACTCCTTACCTTATGCAGGTTTTGCCTTCTTGAAGTCAAAGGTTCAAATCCTCTCCCCCTCCCCCCTCTCCCTCCAAAAAAAAAAAAAAATAGTATTCAAAATGAGGTTGAATTATATCTACAACTTCAGCTATGTAGACAACGAGAATGAAACTTATTTTACATATTCTCTATATAATACATCAATTATGTCTAGATTAATCATGGATGTTTTGGGGCAACTTAAGCAACTCAAATGGTTGGATAACATCAAGTCGTGGAATATATTTTGGTCTCAACCAAAAAGAACCACGCGAGGTTTATGCTTTTTATGGGGTATTTGGTACCCATAATCAGAATTCATTGCCATTCTGTAATGGTTTGAATGATTTCAGGCCTAGGTCGGATATTGATTGGAACCTGGATGACAATTTTGGTGAGTGTTTGACAAAAACAACAGGCAGTGTTGGAAATCGAGTACAGATAATGGAGAGAGAGATAGGTGCTCGATATATTCCCACATGGAATCTATTGAAGATTCTCAATCTGTGGCAGTTGCCAGAGCTCAGAATGTGAATCCACCTGCTTGAATAAGTGTTCTTGCACTGCCTATGCTTACGATAACAATGGTTGTTCAATTTGGAATGAATACCTCTTGCATTTGCGGCAATTGCCAGACGATGGGAGTGGGAGAACTATCTCTGTCAAAGTTTGCTAGTGTTAAAAGTAGTAGTAGGGCTAGTGTTATTGGTGCCGTTTTGGGGTCGGCTACAGTTATACTTGTATTCTTAAGCCTTGTTTGGGTCATAATTTCGAGACGGGAAAGGAGATTGGTCAGCACTGCAAATGCAGTAGAAGGTTTGTTGGTGGTTTTTGGGTACACAAGGATTTGCAAAATGCAACCAAAAACTTCTCAGAGAATTTGGGTAGAGGAGGTTTTGGTTCTGTTTTCAAAGGAAAGTTGCCGGATTCAACTGTCATAGCTGTAAAGAAGCTTGAAAGCATCAGCCAAGGAGTGAAGCAATTTCGGACAGAAGTCAGCACACTTCAGACAAACCAACGGGTTAACCTTGTAGGGCTTCGTGGGTTTTGCTCTGAAGATTCAAAAAAGTTGGTGGTGTATGATTGCTCACCAAATGGCTCCTTGGATTCCCATCTTTTCCATGATGAGGATTCAAAGCCTTTGGACTGGAAAATAAGGTACCAAATTGCACTGGGGACAGCCAGAGGGTTGGTTTATCTCCATGAGAAGTGCAGGGACTGCATCATACATTGTCACATAAAGCCAGAAAACATTCTTTTAGAAGATGAATTCTTTCCAGAAGTGGCAG